CCACACACGCATGTGGTTTGTTTACTTGCTTGTGGGGAGGGGGCGGGGAGCGATAGTGTACAACAGAGCAAGTTTTGTTGTAGTGGTGTGCGTGGAGAAGGAAGTTGCCTATCTATGCAAGCCACAGGTCTAGCTGGAACACCTACATACCTATCAACGCTGTCGGAAGGCGCCTACAGTCGTGGAGCGCCGGACCACGCAACCTCGAGCAGGTTTCGGCGCATTTACTTGTGGGCCTGTATTCACACTGCTGCTCCGACTCGACTTAGTTGAGCCAAGTGGTCTCTGGATCTGCTTTGCTGGCACCTCAGCCGGCTTCTAGCAGCTGCTCTTTCCCAAGACTGGACAGCTGCATTATTTTATTGACTTCCTGACCTCCTATGACGCCAGGAGGCGTGTTACCACAGCCGATACTGTCTTATAGATGGTTGCATGCGCATTATTACCTGTCTTCCATGCTTCATTGGGTTATGGAAACTCGTATTGGACTATCACACTATCACGTCGGAACTGATGTTCATCAGTGACCAATAACCGGCGGGGGCCACCAGCTATACGGCTTCCCCAGCAGCTCAGAGAGCCCCCCCCACGAGGAAGCATACATGCATCACTTTGCTATAGGAAAGGCTCTGCGGGGGTTGGACAGTATTCGGAGCGCTTAGCTCGGTAATCAGTTCCCCAGGTGCATGTAGTCTGCTCGAGAATCAAGCGCCCTGCCCGCCGAGGAGACGGGAATCGTTGCTCTATTGGGCTATTGGGCTAGCAGAGGAGGCGATAGTTGCGAGACACGCGGAAGAACACAGATCACAAGGCGCTGGCAACGGCAGACAGACGGTAGACAGAGGGCAGAGAGAAGTGCGGACTGAACGGAGTCCGCTGGGAAGATAGGCAAGATATGGCAAAGTCAAACTACGTAAGCTTGCGCGTTTTGACGGCGATCAGATGCTCTCACTTGCCGTGTTCCAAACTTAACGAAGTGGAAGGGATGATTCTTGCTTAAATTGTGCCAGCCCGACACGCATTTCTGCTCCACCATTCTTCTTGACCTCTGCCCCAGACGACGCCTTCACCTTCTTCGACACCATTCAGATTTGATTGCCCCCTTTGACCACACATCATGTCTTGGCGCGTCCCTGTTGACTGTGGCAGTTATCAGCCCGTGGCTGATTTCCTGACTCGCGCCTTCGACCCGGCCCAGACGGCGTCAGTGGCACAGGAACTCGCCTCCTCCTCCGGCCCCATTACGGCGGGGGCCGGCAGTCCGTACGCAGCGCTCTGGGATCGGCTCTCCACAGCAGCCGGAGGCCCAGCCGCGGATGTTGCCAAGGACAGAGTGCCCATGCCGCAGGATGTGCCCATCCTGGCCCCCAAGACGCCCGACAACCCTCTCTCTGACGACGATCACATCAAAAGGGCGCTCGAGATGTTTGGCCACCTGCGAGACATCACTGGTATCGCGGACCTGTTCATCGCCATGTCCAACGCCGCCAAGCGCGAGAAGCGCGGCCACCCAGACGAGTACCGCATCACGGTGCCGGCCGAAGCCGCCCAGGCCTTCGCCGACATGGCCGACTCGACCTACAACGTGATGCTGGGGATGCCCCTGGCGGGCATGTTCAGCTTCGGCAGCGGCATGCAGCACACGTTCTCGCGCAGGTTCTCCAAGACGGAGCTGCACCTCGGCTTCATCAGCGAGCTCTTCGCCGACTTCAGCCTGACCGACGTGGCCAAGAAGCAGCTCGACGGCATCCTCAAAAACTTCATCAAGTCCCTCGGCGACGTCACCATCCAGTCCGAGAAAACCGGCAGCACCGTCGACCAGACCATCCGCGTCCACCAGGCCATGGCCACCAACATCTCGGGCAGCCTGGAGCACCCCATCTATGAGTACCTGCCGCGGACACGCATCATCTACATGCACATCGACGCCAGCACCTGGAAGTGGGCTACCAACAAGGCCAACCACGAGGAGAGCACGTTTAACATGCAGTACGTCGTCGTCGACATCGACCTCAACGTTAACAGGTGGCTGGCGGCCAAGCCTCAGCTCGAGGCTATTTTCCAGGAGGTCACGAGCCAGACGTTTAAGCAGTACGGGAAGGTAAAGTTCCCGGTTCCCATCGATGCGGGTGCCAAGTAGTTTGGGTATCTAGCTGAGGTATGGTTGATTGGATACCAAGAATATGGGAAACCTGTCAGAAGTTAGGTATCTACCTAGGCATGTTCTTCTGGAGGTAGACGAGAAATTGACTGGAATATTTCTGCCTGAATAGTCTGCGGTGCTCCGTCCCGTAGCTCAATATGGGTGGTCCTCTCCTGCGTGTGCTAATAATCCAGGACCCGATCTGCCAACCCGGATTCCGACCCAGCCGCCCCTTGGATAACCCAGACCGGCGGCCAGGGTTTCGCCTTTTTTTTCTATTTAAACGCCGTCTCCCTCTATCTGTCCCCCTACGACCTACCTCTTCCACTCCGTCCTTCCCTGACAACCCTCCCCTTCCCCTTCACCTCCACCAAATCCTATTTTACCGTATCTACCTATCCACCGCCGTTTCTCCTTTCGGGTCTTGGAACATCTTGCATTATTCCCTTACTTGTTATTCCATCCCCCACTCTTCCCCCTTCCCCCTCTCAAAACAAAAATAAAAAAGTAAAGAAAAAAAGAAGAGAAAATAAAGCCATGGACCAAGCCGCACCATCCCCAATCCCTCAATCCACCACCCTCTCCTCCGCCCCCTCATCCATCCTAGCCCACCTCGCCACGGAGCCAATCATCCCCGACGACGAAGAAGCCCCAGGCCCCATAACAACCTCCCTCTTCGACTTCCTCGACCCCATAATCCATCTCCCCGACTTCATCCTCCCCTCCGTCCGCGAGCTAGTCCAAGCCATGCGGGCAGGGGGCGTCCCCATCCCGGCACAGGCACTCGCGCTCCTAAACCAAAACACGGCCGACTTTTATAGTGTTATCGGGGCCGGCTCGTCGGCGGTTGTGTCAGTGTCGGTGGACGTGGACGTGATCGCCGCGCTGCATCGGGAGTGTCCGTCGGTGTGGTATGTGAATATACCGCATCCGAGTGTGTCAGGCGGTGGTGGTGGTGGTGTGGTGGACGAGGAGGCGGTGCGGCGCAGTCGGGCGGGTGTCAAGGACTTTCGGAGCTGGTCGTCGAAGAAGTGGTGGGAGGAGGTGGCGAGGCGGTATGGTGGCTTGCCTGATGATCCGTTGCTGCAGGTGTTGCGGAGTAAGCAGTTTGCTGAGATTGCGTGTCAGGATATGGTTAAGATGTCTTGGTAGGTGGACACTGGTGTGGGTGATGGGGTATCTGGGCAGTCTGTGAGGCAGCAGGAAGCTAACACGATTGCAACGTCCAGGCTGCGTACTACGAGGGCTCCGGCCAATGTGGTGTACACGTATGATTGTTTGCCTGGAGATTTGCACGCGCAGCTGGTCGAGAGGGTGGTGGAGAACTGGACCAACGTCGATCGTGATCTTGTCGAGGCTGTCGAGCCGGTTTTTCAGGGCATCATTCGCGCGCTGCAGCAGGGGAGCCGTGAATCTGTCCGGATGAAGACTATCGTCATGGACAAATACGCCTACGAGCCGTCGAGTAGGAGTGTTACTTCTTGTATGTTACCCCCCATCTCCCTAAACATCTCCATAGCACCGCCGGACTGACCTGTGCATTTGCTTCTGCGTTATACAAGACATACGGCTTCTTTCGTTTGAGATCCACAACTCGGTCTACGACCTCGTGAGGGGCAAAGGCGGGGAAAGTCAATCTCGCCTCAGGGGGGATTTCAGTGTGCTCTGTTACGAGGCTGTCTTTGAGAGCGACATCTGGGCGCAGTTCTCTGCCACGCTCCATGATGATGAAAAGATTCCTCTTTGGGATTATGTCATGGGCCAGACGATTGAGGTCCTAGGCATGACTCGGGCATAAGTAACTGTAGAGCTATTCGTATTCTAGGGTCAAGGTTGGATGTCGAGGCTGCTGAGTCAAGGGTTCCAGCTACATTTGGTTTTGTCCCATTGCCGCAGCGTCATGTCGCGGGGTAACAGCAACACAAGTTGCCTTGCTCGGCACAATGGTCCCTTGAAGGTGCAAAATCTACTGAGGACTTATTAACCTACAGCGGGGCGATGCCCTTATCTCCAATCTGAGACCTTTGGGATAAAGGAATTAAGGACTCTTTGCGTTGTGTCTTGGATGCTCCGCTACTGAGGGTACCCCGTGTGTGTGTGTGTGTGTGTATACCTACCTAGGTAGGCAAGCACTAATCCTGTCGTCAGACAGTTATTACCTACTAACAACCTTTTTTCTCTCGATTTCTTTGCCTTTCTCTCACCATCGAAAAAAACTTTTCAGACACCTTCGCTTTCAGTCTTGGTTTCTGCACTCCTCCTCTGACCAACTTCTGTTGTGGGGTGTGGCCTAGGCCTTCCAGCCTTTTATGCCTTTTCCACCTTCACACACACCACCATCAACTCAGTGGTAGAAGTTCCCATAGCTCAGGGGTAGTGTGTTGCAAATGCATCTACGGTACTGGTAACTAGCCTGGTAAGGCCCTATACTACTACTACTGTGGTAATGGCTGTGGTGATGGCCCTGGCAATCTGCAGTCCTGGGGACCTACCTACCTACCTACCTACTCCGTACCTACCTTACCTGGAAATCCACGGTCCTGGAGTCCACGGTCCTGGCGATGGTTTTGGTCCTGGGGTTCTGGTGATGGCTGAGGTGGTGGATTGCAGGGGAGAGTTTGGACTTGGAAAAGTTTTTGTGCGTGCGTGCTTGTGTGCGCGCGTGGGTGGGTGCCCTGGGCGCTCTTTCCCTTACCCAAGCCAGCTCTTTCCATTTTTGCAGCTATCACCAGTTACGATAAGAGATCCGAAGCCTTAGGTCCTCGTCGCAAGTCCTGTGCAAGGCTTCTATCTTTCCACACTTTCCCGGTAAGATAAATCAAAATACGAAAAACTTCAACAACGCAGTGGTAGAACAGTTCCCATAGCTCAGGGGTAGAGCGTTCGGCTGCAGTGATTATATATATATTACATAATATATATATAATTTGTGGATCCGACAGGTCTCGTGTTCAAATCACGATGGGAACTAATCAGTTTTTTTTTCTCAGCTCCAAGAGGCAAGTTGATAACGTAATAACTGTCTGACGACAGGACAACAACAACACACAGCCATCACCACCATAGACCAGATAGTTTATGGATCAGTTCAGCGCACTCCATCCGTGCTCAATCAGCACTTCGTTCTGAAGCAACTCGGTGAAGCCCAACGCTATCTCGGATACGATATCATGAGAGACCCGAGCAACGCACTGTCTTCCTGTCACAAGCTAGCTACCTACACCAAAGCGATCATCACCAAATACGGGTATGAGATCTGGAGCGTGCCAAATCCTCATAGCCTCCGAAGTTGACTCTCCCGCCGATATGGGTGCCGGTTGAAGGAAGGTTTGGACATTTTTCTAGCCAAATACATTGACCGACGTGGCCAACGAAGGGTACAGATCAGTTTCCGGCCTTTGGGAATTGTCGATGGAGACAATTTGGAGGAGAAAAGGGGCAAGTCCAGCTGTGGATTTCCGCGAACCTTGGTTCGAAGCCTGTTATGATGGGCGATATCTTCGAGCGGTCCGTTGAGACGGCCGATGCCTGGTACCCGGGGGATGAAGAGCGCTTTCGAGCTGCAGTAGGCCTTGATACGGATTGCGGCTATTCGTGCGCCGTGCAGCGGGACCAGCACCTTTGGACGATGGCGACGAGGACCACGGCTTAGCGGTGGACGCGTGTGGTAGACCCGTCCATTCCCATCATCACGCCCATCATACCTCCCCTTTAGTGCCAGAGCCTTTAAATGCAAGTGATTCTGTGGTCCATATTACTCACAGGACAGAGCATCTAACTCTAGTTCTTATGGTTAGCGCCCGTCAGCCTCCACGTTACATTCGACTAGTTCAGCTCTCGATTGATATATCCCGAACCATAGTCGGACCGAGTGGCCCCGGTAAACTAGCAGGCTGTCATATAAAAGGCGCATCGGGCCTAAAAGCTCTGGACTCGAAAATATTGTTCGACTCCACCCACGCACAGCCCAAAGCGACCCTTGTCCCCGATGTTAGATGTATTTCTGTCGTTGTTTTCATTAGAGGCAGCACTGGGGAGGAAGTCATGTTTCCAGATTGGCAGTACTAGTATTCCACACCATGCGATACGCGTCATTCTCACTTCGTCTCTCAAGTCTCGACATGCCAGTTAGAGGATGCCGTCAGCGGCGCCAGACATCTCCAACCCCGCAGACGCCTAGCTGCCCAGGCTGACTTGCAGCTCACTTGCTTATTACTCCCCATTGTCGTTCGCGGGTGCACTTACCGTTCGGAACGGAATCTAAAAGCGACCGCCTTCTGCAACTATTTGTAAGGTGTGGGGGAAGGCTGAGTAAGAAATACGGTAGCGGCAGGATTCAGTTGGGCGCTGCTTCATATCTCACAGGTTTGTTGGCGCAAGCTTAACCAGTCGATTTGACGACAGGGCGCCGGAGTTAATAAGGTCACCTTTGACGTCCGATAGAGGTAAGCAACCGAAGGCCCTGACATGCTACTGCAGATGGAGAGTTACACAGCAGCTGCGAAGGGCGTGAGAGCTGCATTGAGCCAGTTGGGTGCTCTTTGCAACCTCACTCCACCTCGCCTCCCAGTCGTCTGGTTTTGCACGACAGGTTTGTGGGTTTGTAGGGCGAGGAAGGAGCACCCACGTCGGAGAGCAGGAGCACACGGACCACAGGACCTGTATTTAGCCAGTCAGGGCAAATCCTCCTCTTCCACCAGACAAGCATCCTTCGCAGCACTTTTTCAGGTTGTTTCCCAAGCTGTCATTGTTTTCACCCCTTCCAGGACGTTGTCTTCGACATCTCGGATTGTTGGCCAGAACCATGCTCCCAAAACAGAGTAAAGCTGGGCGAACAAAAAGAGTATTCAATATGTCTTGGCATCGAATACCTTCACCAATCATCACATCCCCCGACGCCGCTGCTCCCTAACGCAAAGGGGATCCCGACGGGGCGGCTCGCATTCTGCGTCAGCTTCCAGGCGCCCAGGCAGCCAGGGTATCTCTGCCCTACAACCTCTAACCGTCCCATCTGAGCACACAACCCGCGTCCCACTCCATCGTTAGCTGTTGCCAAGACTCCCTTTGAAGAAGGTGTAACGGCTGCCGGTTACCAGTTGGGCGATAACATGCGCGACAACAATGCAAGGAGCAGCGACGCAAGTGAGCGACGCAAGTGGCTGCCACGTTTTCGATGCCAAGGGCGAGCTGAAACTAACCGCCAACTAACCCCGGGCAGTGCTGACATTGGATTCGCCGAGGTTGCTTATTTGGGTATCACGATGGGGCGGCCAGGACGTATATAACGATCCCCAGTCCCAACTTCTGGATTTCGTCCGACGTTGTACCTGCATAGAATCATCAGCTTGTGTCACACATAGGACCATCACTCGATATCCTGGAAACGAAAGGAGACAGAAAAAATGGCAACCTACGCAGACCACCCCTTTAGGTTCTTCACCACCCCAAACCACCTCCTCTCCAAAGACCCGTCCGGCGGCGAGGTAGGTCCTCCCGTCCCTCCCCATCTCCAACAACACACTCAAAAACTAACCATCCAGCCCGACGTCTTCACCGACTTAGCCTCCGAAATGGCCATGGTCCACGGCCTGATCACGCGCTACCTCAACTCCATCTACCTCCAAGCGCCGCACATCCCGGCCACAGAACAGCCCGACTTCTGCCGCTACATGCTCGCGTGGCACGAGCTCGTGCACATCCACCACACCAACGAGGAGACCGACTTCTTCCCCGCCGTCGAGGCACTCGCCGGCGAGGTCGGGATCATGGAGGCCAACGTGGCGCAGCACCAGGCCTTCGAGGCGGGGATGGCCTCCTTCAAGCAATACGTCGACGACGTGATCGCCTCGCGCGAGGAATACGACGGGAACAGGGTCATCGGGCTGATCGACGCGTTTGGGGACGTGCTCATGCGCCATTTGGAGGACGAGATCGAGACGTTGCTTGCGCTGAAGCGGTTTGGCAAGGACAAAATGAAGGATGTGTATAAGAAGGCGGGCGATGAGGCCGCCAAGGGCATGGTATGTTTTTTTCTCTCTCCGAGAGTAGCTGAGCGTGTTGCTAATCAGAACCGGTACAGAAAGCAATGAGTTTTGCCACGCTGGCTACGGCCTGGGCAAATCTCGACGCCGACTTTGAGGGTGGCGCGTGGAAGAGCTGGCCGCTAGCGCCGGCGCCGATGAAGTTTTTCATCACGACGGTCCTGTGGCGGTTGTATGGGAACCTGACCAAGTTTGGAGCCTCCGACAGGCACGGCAAGTTGAGGCCGCTTCATGCCCTTCCGAAAGAGGGCAAAGGGTCGCAAAACTGACGTTGATGGAAGGGGTCTCAAAATGTAGCATAGCGTGTTGTTGTTGTCGTTCCATTGCATACATAGACTGATGATGGAATACCCACACTATTTCCCTGCCAAGCAGCCACGTTGCTAGCTTGGTCAAAGAGGTATAGTATGCCCTCACCGTCTCTTTGCTAACGAGTGATTTAGTCAGCGTCTCCGATAGTTTATCTCGCCGAGCTTGTTGAACTCTCGCTTCTGAACGCTCCCGAATGGCTCGGACGCATCTGCAAGCACTGCGGCCAATGCAGCCTCTCCCATTTGCAGACATGGATACGGACACATCGAAACGTGTGATCGCGCGGGGGGTATGCCAGGAGCGGAAACGGGCCCGCAGGCCATGGAGGCGAGTTCCGCCCGGTTGGTCACTTGGGATTGTCATTGGACCTCGCATGCCATGTGGCGGGGTTGACGGTCTCGGGGAAAGTCCCGGGTGCTTCCGACTCCAGGGTGCCCGCTGGTTTCCCGGTCGGCGAGCGAAGAGGGTGCCGTCGGCGGCCCGTTTCGTGCTGGTGGTCCTGTTCCCGCGCTGCCAAGACTAAAAGAATCCGCTATCCCTCGCCTTTGTGAGCTCGGCAGAGGGGTGCCCCCGCCCGCCCGGCTTCATTTTCTCCCTAAAAATTCCGCAGCAGTCCCGCGGGTTTTCCCTCAGTCTTCCCAGACGTTTCCTCCGGTCCACACACTGACGAGAAATCGAAGCGGTTATATACGCGCCGCAAACCATGCATGAAAACGACGGCCATGTCGAGGTTGACCACGATGTCGACTCGACATATGGAGACACCGGATCGTCGGCCAGCACGTCGTTGCACAGCAGCGTGCTGCGGTACGAGTTCAAACACGGCCGACGATACCACAGCTACCAGGCCGGCGCGTACAACTTCCCCAACGACGAGCGGGAGCAGGACCGGCTCGACATGATCCACCACGTCTTCTGGCGCCTCATCAACGACAAGCTGTTCCTGGCGCCCATCGACCCCAACGCCGGCCTGCGCATCCTCGACATCGGCACCGGCACGGGCATGTGGGCCATCCACATGGGCGACGACTACCCCGGCGCGGCCGAGATCGTCGGCAACGACCTGAGCCCGATCCAGCCGCAGTGGTGTCCGCCCAACGTCAAGTTTGTGGTGGACGACGTCGAGCTCGACTGGGCCGAGACGGAGCCGTACGACTACGTGCACGTGCGCTACATGGCCGGCGCCATCAAGGACTGGCCGCGGCTGGTCAAACAGATCTACGACCATTTGAAGCCCGGCGGCTGGGTCGAGTTCCAGGAGACGGCCAACACGCTGTACTCGCAGGACGGCACGCTCAAGCCCGACAACGCCATGGTCCGGATGATGGACGGGCTGAGCGAGGCCTGCGATAAGATCGGCCGCACGCTTGATCCGGCGCCGTCGATGGAGGGGTGGGTCAAGGAGGCCGGCTTCGAGAAGGTCGCTGTCGAGAAGTTCCGGCTGCCGATCGGGAGCTGGCCCAAGGATCCCCGGCTCAAGGAGGTGGGGACCCTGATGGCTGTCAACTTCACCGAGGGCGTCGAGGCGTTTACGGCCGTCCTGTTCAAGGACGTCCTCGGCTGGTCCAAGGAGGAGGTGGAGGTGTTGAATGCCGGCGTGCGCAGTGCCGTGAAGAA